CTCCTGAGTGCAGATCTCCAGTCATTCATTTTCCACGTGTATAACCTTGGGGAGACATTTAATTTTTCTGTGCCTCAGTTTCCTCACTTTTTAAGGGGGAAAATAATCCCTAGGCTATAGAGTCACTATGAAGGACAAACTGGGTGAGGTCAGTAAAGTGCCTGGAGCACAGTGTCTAGCACATAGTAGGCATTTAATTTAACTGATTATCCCTCTTAGCAAAGAGTATAATGTGTTGCCATTCTCTAAAGGCAGTTCCTTGAGAATGAAAGGAGTATTTTTCTAAAGTCTGGTTTTCATGTGTTATGGACTAACCATCAAAGAAGTCGATGGAAACACCCAGTAGCGATGTTAGTGGAAGGTAGTCATTGCTCCCAAGAGTGTTGATGGGCTCCTAGCTTTGCTTCCAGAGAACCCTGCTGGTGGTCCACAAGGCAGCCCAGGATATCTCACTGCTGAAATCTCATGAGGACAGTCTCTTCGCACTCCTGGGAAAATTGGAGGGAATAGGTAGATGTCCCTAAATATTGTCATCTGCTGTTTGCTTGCCTGCAAGCAAGTCCTCAGAGATGACAAAGCAAATGGATACATGATGAATCATCATTAAAGATAAGATTTATTTATTTTTTTTTGCTATTTCTTTTTTTTTTAATTAATTTATTTACTTTTTAAATACATTTGTCTCTGCCTTCCCCCCACCTCTTTCCCTTGCCCCCTCCCACCTTCCCTCCCTCAGCTCTTCCCCTTTGGTTTTGTCCATGAGTCCTTGCTATATGTTCCTTGACTTTCCCCTTCCCTTCCCTTTCCCTGCCCCCCCCTTTTTATAAGATAAGATAAATCTTTATCTTATAAAAAGATAAGATTTAAATAGCTGATTTTTGAAGGTCTGTGGCTTGGCTTTTTGGTGGACAAGTAGGTTTGACTTTGCAATATTTCTGGAGTGTACATGAAACATAGACATATTTTCTGCTAGTAAAACCGTTTCTGGTTTGGGCTTTGGGATTAAATTTATCGATATTTCTGGATGCTCTGCAAAGCATGTGATGCCACGCAAATAACACCATGACTTGCAGAATTGTCACCCAAACAAGTTTAGGATCTGGTTGAATGTGTAAGGTGAGATGAAGTGAAAAAATTACCTATGAGCATAAGAGGACTTTACACTTCAGAACCTCTAATTATTTCTAGTACAAAATCTGTCTGGATCCATGGCTACAGGCAACAGAAAACATCAGCTCTATTAAGTGGAATAAAATAAGAATTTACTAGATTGATATTGGGGATCAAAGAATGGGCAGGAGGCCAGAGGATACAGGGAGAAAAATGAGTGGGTAACAAATAAAACTGAAGAGGGGAGACAGCAGGGACTACTACAGAGGGAAGAGCCTGGTTCTCACGCCCCACTTCCCATGCCATGAACAGGAACTCCACTCACCCCGCCCCCGTCACTCACTGAAAGAGCATCCGATGTGCTGGAGCTAAGTTGCCTGACCCATATCCACGCCTGCTGCATCCAGGCAAGAACGGGAGTGGGTTGTTAGCTCCCCTCACCAAAACTGCCCAAAACAGGTTTGTCCGAAAGGCCGATGCCAACTCTGGGGCAAACTTTCAGGCCACAGCTGTCCGCATGGTGCTCTGTGAGGCTGGGTGCTTGTGATGTGAGGGACAAAAATGTGCATGTTCAGAATGCTACTGCAAGACCGCACTGAGCGCATGTCTACCTCAGAACACACAAGCACAGGTGGCGTGGGCAGAGCCTGGGTCAGTCTTCAAGACACCAACCGTAGAGGCTGACTCCGAGCAGGAGGAGCGGCCTGTGGAGAAGGCTGGCGAGGTTCTGGGCCGGGTAGACTCAGAGCGGACGACGCTGCAGGGGGAGGGGAGAGGGCGCTGGGGCTCCCATGAGGTGAATGAGGCTCCTCGGGCGCACCCTTTAAGGGAGTGCCAGAGTCTCAGCCCTCACAATGGAGTACCTTTTAATGCAGGGTTTTTTTAATAAAAATGAGCACACAAATTCATTATAAACAAAATATCAAAAATTTTAAGTAAATTGGGATTATGTTACTGATTTTTCCTGTTGCATCCAGCTCTGAGATGACTCAGCACAACACTGTGAAAGTGTCCTTTCCACTTCAGGCCCGTTCCTCCTGCAGAGTGAGGGGGTGGGACAGAAACCTGCTGTGACTCTGTGGCTCGGGGGCAGGGAGGAAGGTTAAGGTCCTCTGTGCTAGACTGGGGTGGGGGCTGCATCCTGGTGGGCCACGCGGGGTCGATGCCCTTTCTGCAAGAGTTAGAAACAGTGGGTGAACAATAACCCCCCTCCCCCATGGAAGTCCGTAGTGGAGCTCAAAAGAAAAGGAAGAAAAACCTATGGATTAATAGACTGTAAAATAATTATGTTTAAAATGATTATGGGAAAAGAATAGGAACCATGAATGAAAAAATAGAGAAAGGGAAATGTGAAAATAACTAACTATACTATCTAGAAATCTGATCGCACCTTAGCTCATTATGACCCTGGGCTCCCAAAAAGGGATGTGGTCACCTCTGTCCTATAGACAAGGAACCGAGGTATCACAAGGCACTGAGGGTTGAATAGCTTTGTGACTAGAAGGATTGGAATTCAAATTCATGTATATTTATGCCAAATAATTTTTGTAATCCTCAGCCAAAGATATGTTGACTGGTTCTAGAGAGGGAAAGAGAAACTTTGTGTGAGAAACATTGAGCAGTTGCCTCCCATACACACCTTGACCAGGGATGAAACCCACAGCCTTTGGGTGCACAGGACAGTGCTCCAACCAACTTAGCCATGCGGCCAGCTATATGCCAAACAATTCCTTAACAAGGAAACTCTTCTTCCTTTTAATTTTCTAAGAGAAGCAATTATGACTTTTTCCTAAATCTGTACCCAGACCTTGGCCATGTACCTCAAATGGTTAGAGCTTCATCCTGACACGCAATGGTTGTGGGTTCAATCCCTGTTCAGGGCACATATAAGAATCAACTAATGAATCCATAAATAAGTGAAACAAATTGATATCTCTCTCTTTCTCTCCCCCGCTCTCCACACCACCCTCCACCCCATCTTTCTCTCCCACTCACTCCTCTCTCACTAAAATCAATAAATATGAATAAATAAGTAAACAGACAATTTTTAGTAATTTAAGGTAACTGCAAGTTTGGGAAGTAAAATTGGCTATGCCTACGCCAGCTTGCTGGCCCATAAACCTCTGTGCTCCACTAGCAGCACTGGATAAGCACCGGGGAGCCTTTGGTTATCCTACTTTGTCAGTCATGTTGATTAGTAACTGGATAAGCGTGAACATCTTAGAAGCTAGATAACCATCAATATCTAAGATGCTATAGACGAGCCAGAACTTATGCTGTGCATAAGTTTGGCAACAAAAAATACCTGTTCTAGATTCCTACGTTCTCTCTGCTCCATAAACCTAGCCCTAGCCCTAGCCCTAACCCTAATCCTAACCCCCACTCCCATTATGACAACCAAAAATATCTTCAAACATTGCCAATGTACCCTGGGGGTCCAAATTTCACCCATTTGAGAACCACTAGACTAAAATGACTTCCAAATACTTGTTAAAAATATTCATTTTTGGGGGAGGATTTTTTTTATGCAAGGGTGATGTGTAAGGATCAGGTGAGGAAATTCATAAAAGTGCTTTGAAAAAAACTACACAGTTGTTTAGCCTTATATTGGTATTTTTCATTTTAAAATACGGTATAAATGTTTAGGCCTAGGATGGCCTGGAGATTCCCATCCTCCATAGCCGCCTCCCATGCTTCCCCTTCATGAAGACCCTCCCCTTTGGGGGGTTCATGACTTGGGTTCATAGACCCTTAATGGATCTGAAGGTAGTATTTTTTGTACGATTGTTTTCCTGTGTAATCCTATGTATTTTATTTTATGAATTTTAAAATAGTATTTGTAGGAGGGTACATAGGCTTCATCACCCTGCCAAAGAGGTTAAGAATGAACCAAACTTCAATCCTCCCACCAGTGAATGTTCACAGCGTGTTATCATTTGAGTGGTTTGAGCAGAAACTGAGATGAACGGTATATACCCCTTTCTCATGTTATTGTCCCCAACTCCTAGCTGATCTCTGATACTCCAAGGTAAGGCTGAGTCATCCTTGCCAAACTGCAGGAACTCCAGCTGCCTTTCTGTGGCCGCCTCTGCTTTCCTACTCCAGCCGCCGGTGCCAGCCGGCCTGCTTACTCACCAGGCCTGGATCCAGGGTCTGCCATATACATAGGTCTTCTAGCGCCGTCTACGTAAACCTGAAGGCTATGAAGGTAGTTCTGTAGGGCTTCTCCCTAGGGACGGTAGAGATGCCACCACTCTGCTGTGAGGGCTTGAATGTGTGTGCCTTTGCATGGCAGGGGTCAGAGGTGTTCAGGAGACTCTGGACCACAGGAAGACTTTGGGGCTCCTGTGTAAGAGATAGAAGCCTACAGGATAATGCTAACAACTCTTGTCATCACCTCCTGGAGCCAGACACTGGTATTCAGGTGCTCCGTGGGAGATTGAACCATGACAGCACACTTCCTATTGGTGTTCATTAAAAGGGGTCTTCTTACACATCACTACAGCATATAATCTATCATCATACTCCCCTTCCAAGCAGATTTTAACAATACAATAGTTCCTCAAGTGAGAAATACACAAAATAAGAGACAGCATAATTTTAGAGTGAGTTTCCCCTGAGAATGTTTAGGCAGTTAACATGTGATGCATGTCTTTTTCTTCTGTCGTCCACCCCCTACCTCCGCTTTAGTGTTGGCAAAGGTATATTTTAAGGCAGAGCTGCTTGTATGTTCTCATTAAGTCAGGAAGTAGAGGAACACACCGTGGAGGAGAACAGATTGTTTAATACTGCCCGAGTGAACGTGCCTGCTCAGCTCCCTGTGTGCAGGGAGGGTGCTCACCCAGCAGAGCAGGCACAGGGCAGCCACAGCACCCACACTTCACCAGAGTTCAGAAGCACCTTCTGTAGAGGAAGAAAGGCCCATGTTCCTCGTACTCAAAGCGGTGGACCCACAGTGGTTGAAAGCCCCGCAGCGATGCCAGGATGGAGCCGCCTGTCCACACTGCAGTGTCTCTTTCAGGCAACACAATTACCTGGGGGTTGTCGTTGGGACACAAGCTGCTCAGCTCCTTCTGCAAACGGTTAGGGAAACCGCTGAGCATAGTGCTCCCCCCACAGAGCAGGATGTTCCCCATGATGTCCCGTTTGAGGGCGACATCACACTTGTTGAGGCAGGACACCGTCTGGGTGTGGAGGCCCAGCTGCATGGACCTGATCAGAGACGGCTTGAAGAACATCTCTGAACAGAGGAACCTCTCCTGGCCCAGGTTTATCTCCTGCCCATCTGGCAGAGTGTACTGGACCGTATGCACAGAAGCTGGGGCTTTCTTCTCTTCAATGGGGTCCAGGGCCACAAAGCAGCATGTCTTCTTGATGTCCTCCACGATGCCCATCTGGTTCTTGGTGAAGTGTTTTCCCGAATCGTTCATCAAGCCCATCAAGTAGGCTGTCAGGTCAGAGCCCGCGTAGTCCAGCCGTCCCGTGATGCTAGGCAAAGGATAACCTTCGTAGATGGGGACCACGTAGGACACACCATGGCCGACCTCCACGACCAGGCCGGAGGTCCTGCCATAGGAGTACATGGACAGGCGGGACTGGTAGGCGATGTGCATTGCAGGCGTGCGGAAGGTCTCAAACAGCATCTCAGCGTACCTCTCTCTGTTGGTGTGCGGGCTCAGGGGTGGGTCCGAAACTAAGACCGCATGTTCCTCTGGGGCGATCTTCATCTCTTGGTGGAAGAGATACTCCCAGATCGCCTGCACTGAATCCCAGTCCACGATGATGCCGTGCCGCAGAGGATTGAATAGCTTAAGGCGAACCTCTGGATTGACAAGCTCCTGCCCCACGTATGTCTCTTTGCGATTGTCCCCTGTTTTGGCGGTCTCCATGTAGGGCTTGCCCACTGTTGACGAGATGTTGTGGCTGGGCTTTGGCAGCCCAGAAAAGCCACATTTACAGTAGCCAGTGCCAAGGTCCACGACCACTGCCTTTGTCACCTTTACCTTGGGCTTCTCCTTGACATCTGTGGCCTTAGTGGGTTCTTTTCGTTCCGAACAGGTATGATGGACCCACACTGCACGCTTCGCTGGGCCATCCTTCAGGGAGGCGGTCTGGAGGGCCTGTGTGTTCATGGGGGCCTGTTCATCCTTCTTCTTGTTAGTCCCATCCCCTGTGACCGCTGCCTGCGGGACCCCTGTGCTGTCAAGAGCCATCTTGCTCTCAGGAAGTTCCTCGATCCCACTGGCTTCAAGGCCTGAAAGGCTTAAACCAGAGGGCAACTTGAGAATTTCCCCAGCAATGACATCACTGATTATGACATGATCCAGTGACCCGAGGCTTTCTAGGTTCTGGAAAACTTTGTCCCACGGTAGGGCTGATGTAGGTAGTATTTTTGAGATGATTTACCATTTTTCTAAATTGTAATAAACCTGACTCATCCAATCAAAAAAATAAAATAAAACAAAAATAAAAATCTGCACCCAGCAGAGCTTCCATAAAGTTTCTTTAAAATTCCATTCCAGGCAGGACCTTGCTTTCATCAGGTGAGCAGACAGTCCATGTCCAGAGGGTCAGTTTCATCTCTGTTCTACATTCACTTGAATTCTTTGTGTCTGGGGCTGCTTTTGAAATCTGTAAAGACGGGAGGACCGGGGGGTACAGTAGTGCAAGAAGGACATGAGAAGACGCTTGTGGAGCCCAACTAATGTCCATCTGAGCGTCCTTCACTGGACGCCCACAAACGAGCTGTTCCCCTAGCAGCTGCCAAAGGGCATCTGTGGGCGGGTGATTACTGTTTGCTATTTTACTCTGAATGTCTGAAAATTAACCATCTCTAGCTCAAAAAGTAAATATTTTGCAAATACTAAAAACATACATTGTCTAGCTACTGAAAAAACACATCAGCTAGTCTTAGCAGGTCCATCTCCAATACGCATTTCTTACAATTCCACAGCACAGACTCGATCTAAGCCACATTGTCATTCACCCAGGTGACAGTCATTGCCCCAACTGCTTGCCTCCTTGTAATGCACTCGGCATGCAGCATCCCCCTAGTTGGCTCTCCCTCCGACCTTTCTCCTCTCTGTCTCCTTCTGGCTGCCTCCACTCGCACCATGCGGCCTTCCTCAAGTGTCTTCCCCCTCAGGAACTGTACAGAAATCATTCTCTCTGCTTTGAGCCACAGTTGATCCTCATTATTCACTCATTCTGTATTTGGAAATTCACCTACATGCTAAAATTGATTTGTAACCCAAAATACTTATGGTACTTTCACGGTCATTTGCCGACAAGTGCAGAACAGCAAAAAGACCCAAGTCGCCCGACACGCACATTTCCAACTGAGGTCAAAAGAGACCACGCTCCGCTTTCTTATCTCAGCTCTGATACTGTAAACAAGTGTGCTTTTTGTGGTTGATTTGATGCCACATTTTTCACATTAAAGATATGTTTAAACAGAAACACACAGAAAACAAAACAAAGTTGTCTAGTGATTGATGGTCATGTATTGATTGGTTCACCGGTTGATGAGGCTCGCAGGAAGCTAACCCTAAATTCCACCTAGGAGCAGCAGTTCATATTAGCTTCTGGACATCGGAGGTGACTTTGTAACTATGTAACCGTAACAGGGAGGGACCGCACGTGCCTGCCTGCCTGTCACTGCCTGTCTCCCATCCTGGGCCTAGAAGCCTCTTGAGAGCAGGGACCACATTGGTTTTGAACAGCACCTGGCACATAGTAGATACTTGATACATTTTTAATTAATGAATAAATTGCAAAGAAATAATTTTCAAAGCCAATTTTTAACCAGGCTTTAGCCTATAGTGAATCATTAGAGGTTAATATTTAATACCGCTTTACAAAATCTGGACAGATTTTCACTGGAGTCTGTGAATGAATGCTAATTAAATACCTTTATTTAATTATCACTTGACTCTCTTCTTTGGTTTGAGACCCCCTTGGGACTTGAGAGGATGACAGAAGGTGCTCCTCTGTCTCCACTCTCTGCCAGCGTCCCTGGCCAGGTCCCTCAGCCCTGCTGAATCTCCGGGAGGCCACCTTGGCAGAGACGGTGTCACCCAGGTGCTCAGAGAACTGCTGCCTTAGAAATCTGATGAGGAGCCATGGGCATCTATATGACCCTTCCTCCTGGGGAGAGGGAGGCTGCTCAGAGGTCCATTCTGCTTCTCACTGAACCACAAAGCCAGTGCGAGGAAGACTTTCACTCCTCACTGAGCCCATTAGCTTGGAACACTGAGAGCTGGATTTCATAGCAAGCAGGGTCAGTAATTCCTAAGCTTATTGCTTCAGTCATAGTTTCTTGCTCCATCTGGTCTTCTATTAGAGCAGAAGTCAGCAAACTTTTTCCTTGAAGGATCAGATCATAAGTAATGTAGGCTTTGGAGGCCACACAGCCTGTCTTAACTACTGAACGCTGCTATTGTTGAAAGGCGTCACATCAGTAGATAAGTATAATTGTGTTCCAGTAAAACTTCATACTAGCAGGCAAAGGGCCAGATTTGGCCTGTGGGCCATAGTTTCCAACCCCTGCAGTACAACCTTTCCCCTATGACGGTATCTTACTTGTCTGTGTCCTATTCTGCACTCTGAGCTCTTTGGGAAAGGCCTGAGTTACATTCACTGTTTTCATCTTGACATCTGGTACAATGCCCGCCCCATAGCAAGCCATCAGCCAGCATCTGCTAAATGCATAACTTGCCCCCAAAACACAGGTGTTGTGAAACAAGCCAGCGGGATGAAAGGTGATCTGAGCCCCACCCGATGACAGCCCATCCATCATCACACCTCCTGTTGTCAGTACTCAATATAGCAGCAGTTGTTTTTCTGACAACAAATCAAAATAATATTTCTATACACATTCAATAAAAAGCCACTGAGTGTGGGGACAGCATCCAGATGTCATCTGGGATCTGCCTGCCCTTGAGACCTAAATAAACTTGTGATAAATCCTGATTTCATGTCCTGTAGGAAACGAAAGCCTTCCCCAAGATGTATGCAAATGCCAGAGGGTCAGAGGAGGTCCTGCATTTCTCAGGGTCACTTCTGGTTCCAAGTATCCACTTCTGACAAGTTAGTTCCGTTTCTTTAGTGTCTCACTATCCTGTCCATGCCAGCCTGTTACATTCCACAGTGCCCTTTTCCTCAGTTCCCCTTTGGTACACACACAGGCACACTCACCATCATCATCAGCATCTGATGCACATGCACATGGTCCACTTAATTGAGGATGTTGGAGGAGAATGCAGTTACATCACATCAAATTACTACAATCTGAGCCCATCGTAGCCCTTAACTGCAAACTCTTCGCACTGCTCTATCCCTCTGTATTTTTCCCAAGACACATTATACCCCAAAAGTTCCCCAACGTCAACACACATGGTGATTCCTCTTCTCTAATTTCCCCCACTGCAGCCCCTTCTCTTTTGTAACAGCTTTATAGAAACATGGTTGACGTACAATAAGCTGCACAAATTTAAAGAGTATAATTTGATAAGTTCTGACATAATGTTCATCCCCACAAAACTGTCATCCTTATCAAGCTACTGTACATACCTAATGCCCCCAAGAATGCACCTTTGTCGCCTTCCCTCCTGCCCCTGTCTCCTGTACCCCATTCCCAGGCAACCACTGATCTGCTTCCTATCACTACTCATTAGTGTACATTCCCTAGAGTTCCATATAAATTGAATGTCCTATAGTATGTACTCTTTTTCTGTCTGGCTTCCTTCACTCACCATAGATGGAGTTCATTCATGTTGTCACTATTCTCTCTTGAGAGCAAAAAACCAAAAACCTTCTACAGGAAAAGGTAATTCTCTCCAGTTCCTGCCCTGAGTGAGCTTCAGACTCACCTCTTAACAGATGGAAACATGGCAAAAGGCCAAAAGGGCCCCCGTCTCTTTAGAAGACCCTTTGGCTTTAAATAGCATGTTTCCTCCCCATACATATCCTTTTCTTCTTTAGTTTACTCAACAATTGTTGAATAAGCACCTACTGTGTGCCAGGTGCTATTATTGGGGACATAGAGGGAATCAGACAAACAAGGCCTTCTTCTTGGGAAATGGTTAGAGAATAAGAAAATGATGGTTCCAATCCATCATTTTAATAGGTGTTATAAGGAAAATGGAAAATTCCTTGGGTTGTCTACCAACTACAGTGGTTACTTGTAGGGAGTGAAGTGAGAGTTGGGGGCTGGGATAAGTATTCATCTGTTTCTTTTGTTTACAGGCTTTGAGAATGTAATGTCATAGTTCCCTTTTTTTAGTTATTTGAATGCTTTTTAATGAAGAATATATGCTTATTATAGAAAAATTAACAGAGAAAATTAAAAATCACCTTTAATCCTACCACTCAGATGTGACCACCATTATATTTCATTTGGTTAATTCCCCAGTCCAGAGGCAGGGGAACACATTTTGCTTTGTTTTTGTGTAATTAAACAGGCCATGTGAACTGCTATCAGCTTCCTGGGGAGCTGAGTTGTGTTTATTTTTTTAAGAGCTACTAATTTTTGATTAACAAGGATGAATGTAACATTTAAGAGGAATTTAATTATACCCTCTTCCCCTTCTCAACAAAACAACATTATTCCCCACGAAGGGTAGAGTCAAGACTCTGAGGATGTATGGCTCTGAGCTGAGGAATTATAGGGGACATTTTTCATGTCACTGCCTAGACAGTCATGCAAGCGATCTAACAGTGAGGTATCTCAGCTGCAGGTTACATCCCCAGCTGAAGCTGGGCTGGGTAATAACTCACTTTGTCATTACTTAATTCTGTGATAGCTGCAGTTACTGAGCCAGAATAGAGAGCCTCAGTCACTAAAAAGATGAGGCACTCTGTGTCACAATGTCTAGGAACAGACAGGCAAGGGGCAGCTCATGGGGCTGATGGGTGGCTGCATAAAGAAGTCTGATAATGGGTGCAGGGCTTCTGATTCATTTATTTTCTAAATGACTTTGCATGTTTCATTCATCAGCTTGTTCAGTCAACACCTATCTAGGATGTACATCCTGTGTGCCAGTCATAGAGGCCACATCCAAGTACAGACCAAGCCCCATGAGAAGCTGTTCTCCCACAAAGTTGGCAAAGAGGGCATTGAGGGTACATGTGTCTAGGACATCCAAGCCCTTGCCTGGATTTGCCAACATCTAATGGTTTTCTGTCACATTCTCCAATGCCTGTATGCTAGGGC